GAGCCCTCCCAAGGAAAGCTGGGGCAGGGCTTTTCTCTCATGCAGATGTGGTAAGAAGAAATTTGCTCTTGGGCCCCAGTCACATGGGGGTCCAGAAAAAGAGATCCCCACTCAGGGATCTGGGTGCCTTCCCCAGGATCTGGTGGGGAGACTGGAAGGATCCATGTGGGCAGTCACAGGGTACCACAAACAACCTCTGAATTTGCTGCTCACCCACCCCAGAGCCTAGGCAGTAACTAAATGACTCTGAAGGTCAAAGTGGCTATAATGAATTGAGAAATTTCATCTCCCTCCCACCTAAGATGTCATGAATTACACGAAGACCAAAGTCTCCCCAGGTGTTACTAGTGAACTCCTCTAAACACCTGCCTTCCCCAACTAAGCAAGATCTCTATCCCCCTCAGAGAAACAGGGGGCCTGCCTGGGGATAACCCCCCACAGTAACATTTTCCAGTAGAATTTTCTGCAGTGATGGAAGATATGGCTACTGAACACTTTAAACACAGCTAGTGAGACTGAAGGACTTAGTTTTTAATGTGATCTCGTTTTATTTAGTTTAAATTTAAACAAGCACATAGTAGTGGCTACCATATTCTTACCCAACAGGGCAAAAGCCAACGTTTCCAGGGAAGTACCTTCTTCATGCCAACATAGCAGTAATTCAAAGAGAGGCCTTTTCTCTAAGTAATTAAGCGCGAGGGCCCCTGCTCGAAGGAGGGCCATCTTTTATCCTTCCTGGTGACCAGGGCTACTTCATAGAGGCAAGCAGTGGCTCTATCATGGAAAATTAACATGGATAGGACCATGGACGTGATCAGATCCAGTTCCTTTGTTCTGGTGATGAAGGAAATCAGGCCCAGAAAGGAGAGATGGCTTGCCCAAGGTCATGGGGGAAATTACAGCAGGGCCATCAGAACCCAGGTTTGAGTTCACTGCCCCATGACCATCTTCTTCCTGCACTACCTCTGAACCCCAGTACGCTCCCTGACAGCCACCCTTCCACCCTTGTCCCCTACGGGCCTGGTTAGCAAAGTACAGACAGGAGCTTCTCAGTGAGGAAAATATACAACACTCAGTGAGGGTGTGGGGAGAGCCCAGGGGTCTGGTGTGTGGGGACAGAAGGCGAGTTTGACAGAAGAGGGTCCCCTGGGCTCAGGCCCTGCTTCAGGCCCAATTCTGAGCCACCATCCTCAGGGGGCAGGGACATAACCAGCTCCATGCCTAGCCCAGCCCCTGATGCACACTCAGCGCGCAGCAGAAGGAATGAATGAATGAAAGGAACAAACCTCTAGGCCGAGTTTTGGGTACACATAGGGATACACAAGCCCACCTTCCTGTCTGCTCAGAGACTGAGAAGAAATCCCACCCACACTGTTTCCAGGTACATACTTTGACATGGAAAAGTCCCTCCCTCCAAGGATTTTGGCATGGGCCCACATGCCCAATACCCAAAACCCAGAGACAGAGCTGAGGTACTCACAATGCCCAGTGTCCTGCTTCCCAACCAGACCCAGTGGTCCAGCCAAAGGGTAGTAGAGCCTGGATGCTCTCAGCCAGGATGAAGGCCCTAAACTGAGTGTTCTTAACCTGGAGCCCCTATGTCCTAGGGGTTCCAGTCTGGGTCACTGTCAGTGAATTGTGCCTCTGTTAGTGTGTGCATGCTTGCAGGCATATTTTCCTTAGGAGAGAACCCATCATTCCAATTAGATTTTCAAGGCGGCCATGACCCAAACATTTTAAGAACCCCAACACCCAAAATCCATTTTGGAGGTTGGAGAAATGATCAGGCATAGCTCACAGGACTCCTCCACTGGATGTTTCCATGGCACCTCAATGTCAGCATTTTAAAAAGGAGACTCCAGTCCCACAAGAAGTTTGCTTTCATTCTCATGCATAGTATGTCAATCCACTGAGTCTTCAGGCTGGAGATTCTACCCTAAGGTGGACTTCCAATATCTTGTCAATCACCAGATTCTATCAGCTCTTCAGAATGGCTCTTTTCCATCCCCTCTACCCTAACCTGGACCTCACCTGCTCTCCTGTCACTGCCCCACCTCTGTAAAGTCCTTCCCTTTCCTCCTGCTTCCCAGCCTGCTCAGCTCCAAACCATCCTCATCTTCTTAAAAAAACTTCAGTCTTATGCTATTGCTCACCTGCTCATAATATTATGACTTGAAGGTAGGAAAAGCACGTGTCTTGAACCTGTGCCTTAAACCAGTATGCAAGAGGATAGAGGGTATAACAGAAAGACCATAGGCTTTGGAGCCAGAACAACCAAGGTTCAGATTCTGGCTCTGCCTCTTCCTAGTTAGGTATTAATGAGGAAGTTATTCAAACTCTGTGACAATCAGTTTCTACACCTATGAAATGGGGTAACAAGAAGCATCTTTCTTGATGAGGCAATATTTCTTGTGTGGTGGCTAGGAGTTTAGGCTCAGAACCAGACTCTCGGGGTGCTGATCCCTTCTTCCAGAATTACTAGCTGTGTGCCTTGTGGGCAAGTTCCTTAACCTCTCTGTGCTGCAGTTTTATCCTCTATAATATAAGAAGGTTAACAACAGGGCGCCTGGGTGGCTCAGTTGGTTAGGTGACTGCCTTCAGCTCAGGTCATGATCCTTGAGTGCCAGGATCGAGTTCTGCATCGGGCTCTCTGCTCAGCCGGGAAGTCTGCTTCTCCCGCTGACCCTACCCC